TCCATTAAGTTTGCGATGGGGCATTTTTTTTTCACGATTGAGCATTCCATTATTAGTCGTTTGCAACTTACATCATATATTTTTAGTTTTTTCTTCATTTAGGTTTGATTTATTGAAGTTTTTGGGGGTTTTAAGTGGTTAAAATTCGGGTTAGTTAATTGATGATCTAAATGAGCTCAAATGACCATGTAATTAATTCCATGGGTTCCTAAGGACCTTAAAAATATTCCATATGAATTTGAAGCTAATTGGAATATCCTAGAATTTTATTAAATTTTCTAAAGTTTTTTTTATCTATAATTAGGAAAAATATCAAGCCTAATCTAGGGTTAGGATTGGAGTAAAATCCATGCCATGTTAACCCTCTTTCCTAAACTTAATAAGCACATAGAAATCATATAAAAATGTCCAATGGATTTAGTATTATCAATTTTCAAAGTCTTTGGTCAATTTTTGACCTCTAATTTTGAAAATTCAATTTAGGCCATATAATGGTTCAAATTGACCTAAGAAAAATCAGGGATATGAGAGACATCCCTAATTTTCATTGGGATCAGTTTGAACCTTAATTGAATCTTGCAATGCATTAATTAATCAAAATTTCATTCTCTATTTAATGGAAAATGCACAATCTATAGACTAAATCAGATCCTAAGATCTATTCCATTATACAACAAGGTGTTATTTGCCTAACTTGGTCCAATAAATTGGGAAATTTAAAATTTTAAATTTCAAGGCTAATTAATTGTATTTTTTGTTCTTAATTTAAGCCATTTACATGAACAACTTGCTAACTAAGTAGCACTTTCCAAATGGTGGCAAGGGAATGGATACTTAAAATTGTGGTTGTTCCTTGTGATACATCAACAATGCTTAGGACCATTCGATCTAACATCGAATGGTTATGATCAAACCGAACTAAGAGAGAGGAGCAAGGATTTCCATATGAGGAAATTAGAGATATTCCTTTTAATTGAATTAAATGAATGCACTATATTTCATCTTCAACCTCTCGTAGAGATAGTTCACCATTCATGAATTTTGACTTAGATCACACAACCTACTGAATGGATCTCTTTCAAATTGATCCATGGGGATCTAAAGGAAAAGAATTATCAATCCAATGATTGAATTTTTATGGATTGATAGTTTCTTTCATAATGTTCCTGACCGCTAAAAGTTTAATCTCATGATTGGGTGTAACCTTCATGCAATGAATATTTGAGAGGGCTTTTAATTTGATTGCACTCATTAATTAAACATCAGGGACTAATTCTACTTCAGCCACCAATAGTTGAGGAGGACTTGATCAGTGATAAGTGCAAATAATGTATTATTTCATGTGTTATATTTTCAATTAAAATGTCTTATTTTAGTTGTGTTATATATAAAAAATACGAAAAGGCAAAAAATTTTAAGTATCATCTAGGGCCATGGTGTCAGGCGAATCAACATCACAGTGCCATCAAGAACACCGCCAGAGCTCCATAATATTGACATGACAATGCAGACTTAACTATTTGATAGTGCCACGACATCAAGATTGTTAGCTTGGTTGCGCCATGTTCACTGTCTTCAAGCACCACAACATCACAGCCTATCACGCCTTGGCACCAAAACTTCCACTTGGGTGCCACAACATTTGAAAGTTAGAAGCACCATTGTGTAGCAGTTGTAATTTCTAAATGACATGATCTACCAACGAAGAAACATGATTATTCACTAATTGATCCAAATCAGCAAACACCACAGTAGAGAAAAAACTTAAGTATAGTGGTGTTAGTTCATTTTATGGGCATTGCGCCGCCGATCTTTTAAGCGCTATAGCACCAGTTGTCTAATTTGTATTTTCCTATAAATTATCATGTGTTATGTTTGTAAGATAGTTCAGACACTTGTATAATTTTAATACTTTTTAAAGTATTTATGTAGATCACTCTTAGAGTCAATTCTAAGGGAGATTAGGGAAGTATTAGATATAATTATTAGAGTGTTTTAATTAGCCAGTGTTTGTTGGAGCAACTCAGTACGTTAAGGAATGAGTGTAAAGGAAAAATATTGATCATTCCTTGTGATATCATTCTATTATATTATCATTCTTCTATGATTTCAATAAAAATTAGTTTGCTTATCTTTTCTTTCATGACTAGCTAATTCTCTAATTTTAGATTGATGATGTATAGAACATATTAACTACTGATAAAGATTATAGGGATATAAAGTTAAATGATGTTTTCAATATCATCCCACTCTTACATAAATCATGTTGAAATCCAAAAAGATAGAAAATCGATCTTATTAATCCTAACTCAGACTCCTTACAAGTTAAAAATCTTTTTAAAACAAAAATCTAATTCAGAAAAGAAATAAAATAAGAAAAGTGATCTATTCAAACTTTGTTTCAGAAAAATATCTAATAGAATAATATAGTAAAGTAATTAATCAAAATCATGAGTTTCAAAAATTAGGTATTCGAAGATATCAAGTGGCTCATAAATTATTCTAAAATTTAAAAATTTGAAAGAGAATGAAGCTTATTTTTGTGGGCTAATTTTGTACATCTTTTTAATTAACTGGCGGACTTTACACATCTTTTGATTTCCGATACACTTTGGTGTTTCTTACAATTATTCAGCGGTCATTATATTTTTTTTTTTTTTTCTTTTGAGCTCATTTTGTGCCTCTTGTCTTTTTTACAAGCTGTCTTCCATTCAAAACTTTTAAAGACTCAGTTATGAGATTATCTTTTAGATATAAGAGAAGAAAAATTACTCTCTAATATAAGGAAAAATAAATCATAAATTAGAATAATATTCATATGATAGATGCAACAACCTTATCAAGAAAATTTGAAATGATTTAATGACTTTGAGTATTATTCATATGAGATAAATTACTGTAAGAAGATAAATAAATATCAATTTCAAAATCTAACTTTTAATTTGAAATAGATTTAGCTTAAAAAAATACACTGCTAAAGGAGTTTTAATGTTTCTTCCTTTAACTAATTTTGGAAAGTCAATCACATCTTACAAATTTTTAAAACCAAAGGCAAGGAAAAACTATTATTTAAGAAAATAATACAAATAGTGACCATTGATCTAATTCTTAAAAAAAATTTGAAGGAAAAAATAAAAGAAAAATAAAAAACATAAAATAAAATACATAAATAGAAGCACACATATAAATAAAATAAAAACAAAAGTATCATAAAACAAAAAGTAGCAATTTCAAGCATTAATATTATGACACCTAATTTGATTCTTAAGATGCTGAAAATTTCAAAAGCTAGTGGTTTTATAAAGATATCAGCAAGTTCATTTTTAATGGCTACATGGTGTAGCTCTATGTCTACTTTAATAATATAATATCTAACGAACTGGTGTCTTATGCTAATAGGTTTGGTTCTAAAGTGTTGGATTGAGTTCTTTGAAATGCAGATGATACTAGTGTTATCATAGATGATTGAAATTATGCCTACATGTAATCCTAAATTTAGAATTTATTGCTTTACCAAGAGAACTTTTCTAGTAGAGATTTCATAATATTCAGAATAAACACTTTACATCCAAGAAAATGAAGGTGAGAGAGGTTAGGTGTCCTACCTTTCAGAATTTCATAGGGTGTCTTATTCAGTTTCGATCTAGCATTCACCCTATTCATAACAGAACATGCTGTATTTATTACTTCTACACAAAAGTATTTTGGAAGTGAATATTCAACTAACATGGCTCTAGTGGCTTTTAACAGGGTCTTATTCTTTCTTTCAGTTACCCCATTCTTCTGAGGGATCTTAGGAGCTGAAAAGTTGTGGTCTATCCCTTGCTCCTTACAAAAAGATTCAAAATTTTCATTCTCAAATTCTCCACTATTCACTATGAATGGTTAGAATTTCACAACCTAACTTTCTCTGAATTCAAGCGGAAAAAGACTTAAACTCCTCGAATGATTTACTTTTATGAGATAAAAATCTAACTCAAGTAAACCTCAAATAATTAATATAATTGTAGTTGACCAAAGAGCTTTATAGATGCCTCACTTCATACTAAACTTATTAATTGGCACAAATGAAGGCCATTCTCAGAGGTCACAATTGACATATGGTCCATCAAGTTCTTACGCATAATGGTGCAAGTTCTAGCCTCAACCTTCTACAAATATGCAATAATTTTGATCAACCAAAATACTTTAGATTTTAATTGTCATTGGAGCTTCAGTTCGAACAGAACTTACCCCTTTATTAGCCCAGATCAAAGCCTTTTATTCTTAAAGGCTACGCATGGTACATAGTTATCATGTATGCACATAATTGTGCATGTTTCACTTTGAGAGGCAAGATTTGTATGGATATCCATTTTATCTGCAATAATTTATGAGAATTACTTTTAAAGCCACAAATAACATTTTTTCACATATTCAGGTGTGGTTGGGTTTGGGTCTCCCACAGCAGCCCGGCTTGCCCAACAAGATGCTGCAACGCGGCTGTCTCACTGGAACTTTTATTTGGTCAGGTGACCTGACGTAGCTCTACGTTCGGACGCCAATAAAATAGTGCCACGTGTTCTTACTCTTTACCGCGTGGCCTGACAATCCGACTCGGAACGGACCCAGGATTGCTATGTTCGCGTATTGCTAGGTATTGATCGATTTTGCTCGGCAATAATGATAAATACCTTTCTGTGAAGATCAATATCGAACAATATTGAGTAATACCGAGCAACACCGAGTTGTTTTAGGTATTACTCGGTATTATTAGGTATTGCTCGATATTGATCTTGACAGAGCGGTATTTCTCATTATTGACGAACAATACCTTATAATACCGAGCAATATCTATCAATCAATACCTAGCAGTAGGCGGCGAACATAGCAATCCAAGTTCCAATCCAAGTCGGGTCATCCGGCCGCGCGGTAAAGAGGAAGAACATGTGCGACTTGGGTTCCGACCTTATAGCTACGTTAGGACACCGTCTCACTGCGCTCCTCGCCTTCCTCGCTTTCCTCTTCGACAGGTTACTCAACGCCTCCTTTGCGGATCTTCAATGTTCCAAAGCGTCGTCTCTTGGACCCAGGTCAACTGAGGGAGAAATTATTACGAGCGGACTCCCGACGTTGAATAATTTCTCCAGTTCAGTTGTTGAGGATTGTTGAAGAGCAATGGCTGCGGCTACATGCGCATTCCTTTTTCTCGTCATCCAAGCGTCTGTCTCCTCCGCCTCTCACGGTCGCCCAAGGAACGTGGTCGAAGTGGAGGGCGGGCCGAACGACGTCGTTTGGGTTGTCCAGCTCTCTGATCTCCACTTCAGCGTTTTCCACCCAGAGAGGGCACTTGATTTCAAAAGGCTTATTGGCCCCGCCCTCTCCATGATCAACCCCTCCCTCGTCCTCATCACTGGCGACCTCACGGGTACGTTCTTTCTACTCTGCTGCTTTTTACCTTCATTCTTATTATTATATTTCTCTCGATTGGGCATTCTAATCTGCACACTTTGTTATGAGTATCAGAGTTCTGTCGGTTGTGAATGACGGGAGTAATCGCGATGGGTTTGTTTGGATTGCTGCAAGGATAGACTTGAAAATTGAAATCTCAGATATTTTACTTAGAATTTGATGTTCCTGAGATTATGCATGTTGGAACCAAATTTGTTCATGGATGACACCTTATTTTTTGCAATTTTCTGGGAAATAACTAGAAAAATAAGAGAGATTCTAGTGAGTATGGACTATGGAACGTGAGAGAGATAAAAAAATTTTGAAATGTTCCAAAATATCCAAAAATGTCCAAAATATCCAAATGTGCCATTTCATTCTTTATATGGAGATTATAGAGGGCTATAAGGAATACTTCAAAAAGTAAAAAGTACAATGTTTATTATAACCCATTACAGATTGTATTGGGCACATGGCTAGGCTTGTAGGCGTCCATGTAGCTTTTTGCCTCCAACGTGGCTCACTATTTCAAGGCGAGTCTTCATGGATGAGTGTGCTGGGTGAGCAAAATATAACATGCAGGATGAGTATGTTTGGGCAAGTCCTCCGGATGCAGCGATGAGTCCTTAAAGGTAGTTTATGGACCGTTGTGAGCGAGGGATGATTTCCTTTAGGTGATGATGACCGTAAGTCGAGGATTGATTGAATTTGGAAGTTCATAACCATGGACCCCTAAGGTGTGTACTTCCTGTGGCTGGATTAGAGGATGTCAGTGGTAGCATAGTAGCTTGGATGATTGCAAATGGCCTCAGAAGATCAATTTTGGATGCAATAAGTAATTCATGAGAGCTAGGACAAATTCGTATGAGTCCCTTAGTGCGCACCCTTAGATGACTGTTCGATACGGTTGCCTATGACGATTCACATTCCTTACTGGTGAGTGCCTTTGGTGGCTGATGTGGCTGCTTTGGCTGAGTTCTTTAGCTAGAACCTTCTAGGTACTTGTGAAACACGTACATGTGCATATCCGAGTATACAATACAAACTCTATAGTTTAATCACGATTATCTCAGTAGCAGAAGCAAATGTAATGAAAAGTAAATTAGAATGTGATTAATTTTACAACATTTTACTTGAAGAAAATTCCAACAATAAAAATGTTATGTTCGTTAAAAAAGTCTATTTGATTAGATTCCATTTTCATGAATTCCTCCACCTCTCTAAAACAGGCAATAAAGTTCACCTTTTAGCTTCAAATCCTGACTATGATTGGACCCCTGCAAATACTACCCTTAGGGAAATAAATCTAAGATACTACATCACCCATATTAATACCTTAGTGCAAGAGCAAGAATTATTCAGCATATCCTTTGCAACTACATAATTCCAAAAATTGGGGATCAAATTAATCACAAATCCTCTATCTTTGACTACCTACTTCATAATGGCTAAGATGTATTTTAATGCTGTTGATCTATATTCTTGATATATTGAGCATTTAACCTGCTTTAGAGATCGTCGACATAAATCAATAATGATTACCAACGGCTCAACCAGTCTTTATTTGTTTGTTTTACACACACATTATTATCATAATATTATAATAATAATAGCGACCAGCTATTACTCAAGCACATATCCATATTTATTTTCAATGCATTACAACAAATAATGCATAATTGAGCTTAATTAAGAAGATGTCAAATATCATAACGATTGATAACAAAGAATCCTATTTTTTAAAAATGTACATTTTTAAAAAATTACCAAAATAACATGAATTATATAAAACGATGTTTTAAGACTTTTACTGTACTACACTACTAATTTTAGATGTCAAAATAAATTTCTAGGTAGACAAAAATCGCCGTATTTTCAAAATTACCTGGTGAAAAATCTCAAATAAATAATCAAAATGCTCATAATCTTGATCTCTATAACATACAAAAAGTTACACGGTGAAAATTTTGCAATATAAAGTTATTCACATTTTTCAGTAGCGAAAACATAAATTTGATCAGAAAAATATCAAAAACACAAAGTCTTTGAAATCAAAAATAGGGTAAAGGTTTCTTATAGTGGGATGAGCATTTTTTCCAATTGGGTTGATTGACGAAATTTGCTCTACAGCCTCCAAAACTTGGTTTCCTTTTTCTCTCTCTTACTTTTTTTTTCTCTTAATTCCTTAAACCACCTTTGTTAGTCGAAAACAGATTAGGGAAAAAGAATTTAAATAAAAATCTTATAATGCTTTTAGATATTTTGATATTATATCAATATATTATTTAATTTAATTAATTCTTTAGTGTAAAATTCAAATAAAGCATTTTAGGACTTCAAAAATTACAGAAAAATAACCATAAAATTAATCATTCTATTTAAAAAATATTGGTGAAATCAGTTTGCAGAATGGATACCAGACGATCCCGAAATCCTTGTATCGACAAGTATCAATTTTTTAAGGATTTTCATCGGTGCCCAAAAATTACAAAAAAAATCTTGTAGTAAAAACACTAAAATCAAAAAATTATGGCGAAGATGGTTTACGATTTGGAATTATAATGACTCCAGAAAAAATTTGTAAAGTTAAAATACGGGCTATTACAAATGCATTTCTTAGGGTTAACATAAAGTTGCTCTTTCTTCAAGACTTCGAAGACACGGGCTATTACAAATGCATTTCTTAGGGTTAACATAAAGTTGCTCTTTCTTCAAGACTTCGAAGACCTGCCTTAAGTGGTCTAATTGTTGACTCGCATATTGGCTATAGATAATGATGTTGTCAAAGTAGACAACGACAAACTTTCTCATGAAAGGGCGCAACACTTGGGTCATGATTCTCATGAAAATACTTGGGGCATTTTTCAACCAGAAAGGCATGATCACCCACTCTTACAAACCATCCTTGGTCTTAAAGATAGTCTTCCACTCATCACAGAGTCGGATTCGGATATGGTGGTACCCACTCTTAAGGTTAATCTTGGAGAAAAGAGTGACTCTTGTCATCATATCAAGCATATCATTTAACCTCGGGATAGAAAAATGATACTTAATAGTTATTTTGTTAATGACATGACTATCAACGCACATTCTCCAAGTAACATCCTTATTTGGTGTAAGAAGAGATGGTACAACATAAGGGCTAAGACTTTCCTTGTTGTAGTCCCGTTGCAATAACTCATGAACTTGCTTTTTAAGCTCAACATATTTCGTGGGGTTCATGCGATAGTGGGGTAGGTTGAGAAGTGAGGCATTGGGGACAAGATCAGTAGCATGTTGGATGCCTCTTAATGGAGGAAGTTGATTAGGGAGATCATCAGGGAAGACATCAGCAAAGTTACTCAGTATGGGTTGGATCTCCTGAGGAGTAGGCTCATCAAACTCAAATGAAGTCTCACGGTCAACCAAGGCGTACAAAGGTGTGCCTCGGGATATTTCTAAATCCAGGACCTTGGTTGTCACAAGGTTCATCCCCTTCTTGGGCTTGACTGGGTTGGGTTTTGGGTCATCCTTAACCCAGAGCTGTATTGGCAAAAGTTTGATCTTTTTGCCCGCATGTTCAAACACCCAGGTATTTGAACTCCCATAGATGTGGATATCATTATAAAAAAGCCAAGGACGCCCTAGGATGATTTGTCCAACGTCCCTTACCAGAATATCACACCATACATTCTCCTTATAGTCAGTGAGGAGATGGGTATGAGGCTTCATTCCTTGACCTCTAAGGCAGTGGAGTTGACCCAAGCTACATTGTAGGGATTAGGGTGGGGAATGGCAGACATACTAAGTCTAGACACTATGATGGAAGTAACATTGATGAAACTGACACTATACATTATGATTTTACAGTTTTTGTTTTGAATTTTGGTGTAGGTTTGAAAGATTGAAGTCCTACGCCAATCATCAGTGGTAAAAAGTTGTGATAGTGCACATCTTGCCACGTAGATGGGAGAGATGTCTACTTTCTATATACATTGAATGACAGTAGTGTTGTCATCCTCCTTAAAGAATTCACCATTATCTTCAACTTAGTGAATCTGGTCAGCCTCGTGCTCAAGCTCCTCTTCAGTGATCTTCTCAATAATGGTGACTTTATATGGACTATAACACTGAGAAGAGATATGCTCATACCCCTGGCATTGAAAGCACTTGGTCACTGGGTGGGACCTAGGAGTATTAGGGGATGGAGGCTTGCCCCTAAAGTCAGGATGGGGCGTACGAGGACCAGAAGGTGGTCGATTAGTATTACCTAGAGTCAGCCGGAAAGTGGAGTGGTGAGGGGTTGATCCACTGGAGGGTCTAGAATCCTGGTGTCGACTAGGATGCTGGGGACGGGTCTCCTCAAGATTTAAGATTAGGTTGTATGCTTTTTCAAGAGTCGTGACGTTATAGGAAAACAGTTCGTTACGTAGGTCCTCATGCAACCGATACAGAATATGGACAGAATTTGAGCAGGCGTCGTAGAGGTCTCCCCCTTGCAGCAAATCAGGTAGTTGTCAAATGATGCAATGTATTCCTTTACCGGTTTACTACCCTAGGTTAGCTTGTTCCACCTATCAAGGAGCTTAGAGAAGTACGAGGGAGATAAATACTTCTATTTGAGCTCACGTTTCATAGAAGTCTAATCAATGATGGGGTATTTGTTGCAGGATTCCCTAAGACTTTCTAGGTTCGTCCAATATTGACTAGCCCTACCCGTGAGTTTCATTTCAGCAAACCTAACCTTTCTAGCCTCATATATGTTGTACCATTTAAAGAAACTATCTATATGCTTGATCCAGCCGAGAAAGAGCTGAGGATCGATAGTACCGTCAAAGTTTGGGGCATCGGCCTTAATGTTTTTCAACAAAGGTGTATCAGGATCGTTATTAAGGTCATGGCCGTAATGGGGAGCTCGATAAGGGGCACTGGGGTGTCCCTCATCTAGTAAGGTGTCGTCCTCATACATAGGAGTCCTAGAAGGTGTGTAAGGTGTAG